GCGATGTGCATTTGTTAGTCAACCAAACGTCCACACTATCAAGCTTGTTCGTTTTCTTAGAGAATTTCAGACCCATCAAACTTGGTTAGAGGAAAGAATTCAAATCGAAAATATTTGTTTTGAATTTTTCCGAAACATACTGCTCTCAAGAACACTTTCATCACACCAGTCATGATTGTTTATCAAGAGGTCATGGAGTCTTTTAATTTAGTCATGCTGAGACCTATCCGTAGTCATAGTATGACGACGAACAATCTCTAAAAACTGCATAGATTTTCTCGTTCGATTTTTATTATCAACCCATTAGCTTGAACGGGAAAAACCTACTGAAACACTAACAACAAAGAATAACTTCAATATCGGTTTCAAATTATTGAATTCTTTATTTTTATTAACAAGAAAAAGAAACGAGAGACAAACATCAATGAAAACAATTTTAAAACATTCTGTTATTTTGATCATGTTGATGAATTTAATGGAGGACAAGCTATATTATTTTTTATTCGACTTTCATTGAAATCATCAACTATGTTTCGTGCCAATGAAGTAGAAATATTATGATAAAGTCGTAAATGACGTTTTAATTTATTAAGTTCAACTAAACGATGTCGACATGATGGAATGGCTGCATTTCGTCGAGTATATTCTGATGAATTAATTCGTTCATAAAAAAAAGGACATGGGACTTTTATAAAATGATCAATTACATCTTCATTTTCATCAAATAATTTTAGTAGCCTAGGATTTTGATTATCATCAACAGCTTCTGCCAAACGTTGAGCATAAACTTGTTTTAATAGATGCGTTTGTGTAAAATGACGATATAATTCGATTCGACGAGTTCTTCTTTGCTCACACAATTTAACAGAATGATTTGCTTTAGTAAGACCATATGCTCCATCAAATGTTAATGGGCATTTACCAAAAACTTCTATGAATGTTTTTGGTTTATGTTTCTCTTGTTTTTCGTTTACATGTTGATCCTGAAAATATATAATGAATATTTGAACACCACATAGGATTCATTTTATACTAAAATAAAACTAATTTCGACGTATAAAAAGGGTAACAAATTATCTTATATGATGTTCAATTAAATAGGGAAATGTATAGTAAGATCAAAGAGGACGAAAAATAACATTCACCTAAACTGATTTCATATAGTATTTAATTGAAAATAGAGCTTCACTCACAAGGCGAAATTTATTAATGAAGATAATTAAACTTGAAAAATTCTCTAATTTATGTGTAAAAAATTCATATAAGTAGTAAAATCGTATTCTGATTAATTGTCTTGAAGAAAAAATCTATGAGACTCAAATATTACACACATTCAAAAAACCGTAAAATATTCTTTTAGAACTTCATTGATCCAGAAATTTCCTTTCCTAAATAATCTCTGTTGAATACGGCATTTTTATTTTATTTACTGTTCGTATTTTTCTAATTTAATCATTTCTTCTTACCGTTTTTTACAACGAAATTATGCTGATCATTTCCCTAATTTTAGCGGAAGATTTGAATTAGGTCTATTCTAATGTTAGAAAAAAACTTCGGCCAATCTGGGTAGATGGAATATATATATGGTTATGTCGTGTACCAAACTGCGAACGAAATAAAATATAACTGATCTTATTTGCTAAAAATCTCGTTTTTCTAGGGTACTACAGAAGAAAAACTGTTAAACTACACTAGACTTTGATTCATTAAGTCAGAACTTGATTTCGTATTTATATACTGATACGATTTAGAATTTAATGAGTATTTTTTCTTGACGGTTATAATTATTTTTACCATAACAGATTTCGTTGATTCACTAAAAGAAAGAAGAATATGCAATTGGTTTTGAATCTTTTCTAACAAAAAATAACTTACTCAAATGAAACAATATCAATAAAATCACGATCAATATCCATTGAATATTCATCATCTTAAATTAATCATGTTCTTTTTTCACTTTAAAGCGAAAGAAACTTTAACTTACCTTTGGAGATTTTCAATTCTGTTTCTACATCTAAATATACAAAAAAAAAAACTTATATTTTCAAGACTGTTTTATCTTACGATCGAATTATATGAACTGAATGCATCATTTAAATTGATATGATGCCAATAACTAAGATTCTGTAGGAGTCTAATAAAACTTAAAAGTGATCATGTCCATGAATCGATTTAGTGAATTTTGGACTCATCTTTTAGTATTTATTCAAAAATGTATGAACCAAATTTCATTCATTCATCTATTTAATGATAAGCCTAAAATCTATAGACAAAAAAATATGTTCATTCATCAAGATAGTAAATTTTTTAAAGAATTGACACTGGTCAAAATCAAATTTACTTCGAAAATGCAATATCTCGATAAATGAACATTTCGTTTTTTAGCTGAAACTTTCAGATTATTCCGAGCGTCATTAGAGTTATGTCTATGAACACTTGCAGATCAAAAATTCGGTTGAACAGTCAAAACTTGATTCATTAACTACAGCTACTTTCACTAAATCTTTCTTTCTAGTGTTAATAAGAGTTCCACTGGTGTATAATAAGTTTGACTAGCTCCCATATGTTAGACATTGGTATCTAAAGTACAATCGGAACAAACAAAAATAAATACAATGAAAAGAAAGAACAAATATTTGCAGCGAGAAATTTCATCTTACCATTTGAATTCATATTTTTCTTATCACATTCACAAGTATCAGAATAAAATTTAGTTTCTGATAATGATGGTTCGACTTTCACCATGATTACCTCTTTAATAAAAAAAAAAACATAAAAAAAGCAATGATTTAAGATAATTTTTACCTGAACGAGTAGATGCT